TGACTTTCCCCCTGAAGGCGCACTCTTCGATTCTCTCCCAAGACAGACGGATGCCAATTCTAATAGGTGGCCTCCAGTGTCAGTCTCCTTCTCTTCAGTCTCAGCGTTACCTTTGTAGAATTCAGCAGGGAGGAGGAGGGTGACAAAGGCATAATTAGTGACTACCTGTCATTTGCTCTGGCACCACCCTAAAAGTCCCCCATTCAGGGCTGGATTCAGGTTTGATGAGGCCCTAAGCTACTGAAGGTAATGGGGCCCTTTATAAGTGATATTTTAGGGAGCAGGCTAGCAAGCAGGGCCCATTATTTACATCATACACAACACAAAACACTGTTGCTGTATGTAGGTTTTATTTTATTTGTTTTTTATCTTATATTTTGGAAATGTTTTTTGGGGCCCCCAAGAGAGTGGGGCCCTAAGCTATAGCTTGTTTAGCTTATACAGTGGACGCTCAGGTTGCAAACGTGATCTGTGCGGGAGGCACGTTCGCAACCCGCAGCGCCGCGTCTGCGCACGCGCGGATCGCGATTTGGCGCTTCTGCGTATGCGCAAAGCACAATTTACTGCTTCTGCACGAGCGCCGAAACCCGGAAGTAACCTGTTCCGGTACTTCTGGGTTCGGCGCGGTGCGCAATCTGAAAACGTGCAACCTGAAACGTCTGTAACCCGAGGTATGACCACGTAAATCCGGCACTGTCCCCATTGGCACCAGCCAATATGTTGCTGTGTTACAGGGAAACATAGAAACCAGATCTGAGGTCGCATTGGCCACACAGAAGACTAGAAAATCTGCACCGGGGGCAGTAGGGAAGTGGGGCATAACATTGGTGAGGGAATGCAGCAGGCTTGCTGTGTAAGCTCAGCAAGCAATAAGCCTCCTCTGTATGTCTGTCGAAGAGCAGCTGTCGCATAAAGATCCCTCCCTTTGTTAATCCAGAATTTAAGTTGAGAAGGTAAATGCAAATGCTAGAGAAAACTGGATTGATTTAAATCAAGGCAATTGAAATCGCCCAAGAAGGAAACGAGGAAAAAAAGACCAATTAAATAATTGATTTACATCTGGTTTCCCATTTTGTAAATTCATACATTTCCTGAACTAGCAACCATTTAGCGAGCATACTTGAATAATTTAAAACATTGGTTTACAACTAAATAGAGCCTTTATACTACTTTGAAGTAACTCTTAAAGCTTTTAGTCATGCGATCCATACATCTTTTACACGGCAGAATTTATATCTGCTGCTGAGAGCTGAGGGGGCCACTGTAAAATTAATGGATTTCAGCTTTTCCTCCCCCATTTTTTTTTTAACACATACAAGGACAGTAAGCCAAACTATCTGAGGATGAAGGTCAGGATCCGCAGAGTGGGGGTTTTAGACTTGTGCTTTTCTCACGTAGCAAACCTTTTCCAGCACCTTGCCTAAATGCCCCACGGCCAACCGCTTTTGAAATTGCAGAGAGTTGCAAAAGTCTCTATGTCATGGGGAGAAGTTGCTGAGAGCCAGAAATCTGCTTGGGCTAGAAGAAACTGTGTAAACCTTTGTGTACGTCTGTGGATTCTGGCTGAAGTGCCCATAACAGTGCAGAACAGAGCTTTTTCATCACGACATTGAAAGTTTCTTCCCTCCCACGATTGACCACATTCATTCATTCGCCATTTTATTTGTATTCCCCTTTTCCACACACACTGAAACATGCTCAAAGCGACTTGCAACAAAGAAACAGGAATGCATTTCAAAATCAAACATTGCAAAGCCATGTTGTAATAACATAAATAAAACAGCAGCACAACAGCAAATATAACAGCATAAAAAGCAACATTTCAATACTATAGATATAACCAGATTACATTAACAACACCCAAGAACAAAGATATCAAGGGAGCTTGACAGTTTCTCCATGGCCCTAGAAACACCTCTCCTTGGATTTAATATCTATCTATTTATGATATAGGGACACGGGTGGCACTGTGGGTTAAACCACAGAGCCTAGGATTTGCCGATCAGAAGGTCGGCGGTTCAAATCCCCGCGACGAGGTGAGCTCCCGTTGCTCGGTCCCTGCTCCTGCCCACCTAGCAGTTCGAAAGCATGTCAAAGTGCGAGTAGATAAATAGGTACCGCTCTGGCGGGAAGGTAAACAGCGTTTCCATGTGCTGCTCTGGTTCACCAGAAGCGGCTTAAGTCATGCTGGCCACATGACTGTACGCCGGCTCCCTCGGCCAATAAAGCGAGATGAGCGCTGCACCCCCAAAGTCAGCCATGACTGGACCTAATGGTCAGGGGCCCCTTTACCTTTATTTATGATATACCCCCTTTAATCATAAGATCTCAGGGCTGTTCACAGAATAAGATACAGGATAAAAACAAGTAAAGAAGTAAAAACAGCAAAATAATAACTACCCTTTCCCCCACATTAATCTGATTTAATGTTAAAAGTAACTTTTAAAAAAGCAACACTTTTTATAGTGGACTAGCTGATTTGTAGGTGATTAAGAAACAATCCTCAATTATCATTGAATTGCTTAGCTTCTCCACCACACTTAAACTTTGGGGATATCCACATAGACATCGATTGCTCTGTTAGCTGTTGCATCTCCATGGTTTTGCTTGTTAAGGCTGGAATTCTTTGAATTCTCTTGTAGAGAGTCTTAGTCATCTGTAGAAATACAGTTCCCAGAGTTTCCAGGGAAGTGGAGATGACTGTGGTTGTTGTTGCTGCTGCTGCTTAAAAAAATAATAATGTTTTAAGCCTGTGATGTAGCAATGTCTTTAGTTTCACATTCTTCAGGTAAACTCAAAGCCTTCTAATACTTTACTAGACAGTCTAAGCCAACGAATCTAAGTATTAAATCCAGCTCTGCTTCCTCTTTCAATGCTACAGGGACCCAAATAAGTCTCAGCACTCTTTATGCCATTAATATAAATCTAATCTGCAAAACAGGTCACGTTAAGAAACTTTTTCTTCTAATTACAGTAAGATTTTTTTATTGAATGCACATTATACCTATAGATCATAATACTTATTTTAAAAAAAAGACTATTAAGATTTTACAGTTCAGGAATTTACAGGCAATGGAGAATAGTGGAAGCCTGATGTTATTTTCTGAGAATCATATCTGCATTAGGAAGATAAAGGACAATTTAGGAAGATTACAAAAGCCATGATTTAGAGTACAACATAAAAATCTGCTGAGAACTAATTCGCATTGCCAGCTGCTGCTAAGCTTCTTAATCTTTATCTAGTTCAATTAAAATCTGAATGTTGGGGATTTCATTAACAACTGGGGACCACAGAAATTACATGCACTCATACACTGTAGTCAAAATGCGTTTGCCACGTTCCTGGGAAGGTTCCCTCTAACATCCTCAGGTAGACTTGGGATATAATTAAAACTTAAGTACTTAAAGGATAATGCGGTAGTAAAAGAGGATTATTTTAATTTTGCTGTTGGATCCAGTTGACCAAAAGGAGAGAGTTGAGGTGGGGAAATGGTTGTAGTCAAAGGGAGCTGAGGATCAGAATAAAAGGCAGCACAGCTCAGCACTACGGTGTATCTGCTAAAGGGTTAAACAAGTTTCATAGTCCTCTTCTTGCCCCAGGGAACCTTGGGAACTGCAGTTGTGCGGGGGGGAGCTAAGGAAGTTGTGGGGAGGCTAGGAGTCTTCAATTGCTTCCTGGTCAAACTGTGATTTCCGGGCTTAGTTTATGGCTTCCCCCACCCCCAAGTTATATATCATATCGAGCCTCTAGGAGCAGTGGCTGAGCCGTCACAAATGGCCTGCCTCTTATTTATATGATGGCTTAGCACCTACTACTCACTTCCCATTCAAATGCCCATTAATTATGCTTTTTAGGGGATCTGCAAGCTGAAATTAAACTTAGTAAAAGGAGGCACAAGGTTTTTAATCATTTAATACCTGCATGTGAAAAAACATTAATTTTCATTAATTCCTCTAGGTTAATTCTTTTTTCCTTCCTTCCAAAAGTAATGAGGGCCTTTATAGGTTCTTTTCTTTTCTATGTGATTTTTTTTTTTTTGCACTTTGTATTGCAAGGATAAACAATAAATGCGTTTTTTCTTAATGTGATGCAGACCCTGCAGATTTCTGCTACATCCTAATTCCACATCTGTTGGTACATCATTTACCCTTTTAATAGTACACACAGCAGGTGGGGAAGCTGAGGCTCAGCACCCAAATGTGATCCTCCCGACCTGTCCTCCTGGCCTTTGGGATTTCCCCAAGGCTATGCCTCCTCTTCAGCCTATATCTGTATATTTGGCCAGTGGGACAGGACCAAACATTTCTAAATGGCTGGGCAAAAGAACTACAAAGTCTTCCATGTTCCCCCATTCAAAGGAAACTCCATGGAAAGCTAAACTCCCAGAAGGAGAACCATGAAATAGGTACATATGGGAAACAATATTGATGGGGAGTATATAGACCGTGTTACATGTCCGCTAGAGCAGGGATGGGAAATCCACTTCTGTCCAAGGTGATGATGGGCTACAACTCTGTTCGGACCTAGCCAATGCATTGATAAATGGTCATGGGAGTTGTGGTCCAGCATCTGCAGGGCCACAGGTTTCCCATCCCTGTTTTACAGGTAAGTAGGCTAGTTAAGGCAAGGGATGGTTTTTCAACCATATTAACTGTATAAAGATAAAGGGACCCATGACCATTAGGTTCAGTCATGACCGACTCTGGGGTTGCGGTGCTCATCTCGCTTTATTGGCTGAGGGAGCCAGCGTGCAGCTTCCGATTCATGTGGCCAGCATGACTAAGCCACTTCTGGCGAACCAGAGCAGCGCACGGAGACGCCATTTACCTTCTCGCCAGAGTGGTACCTATTTATCTACTTGCACTTTGATGTGCTTTCGAACTGCTAGGTGGGCAGGAGCAGGGACCAAGCAACGGGAGCTCACCCCGTCATGGGGATTCGAACCGCCGACCTTCTGATCTGCAAGTCCTAGGCTCTGTGGTTTAACCCACAGCACCACCCGCGTCCCATATTAACTGTATAGATGAGGGCATTTCAACAAGTCCTGTTTCTCATTCCTATTGCACTACTTAAACCTATTTAACTATTCGGCATTCAGGGACCATAGAATTGGTGTGGTGTGTGGGTCTTGTAAGCTTTCTAGTTCAGTGACCTTAGGGAATTGAGATATAGGGTGTCCCCAATAGATGACTGTCCAGCTTCTTGAGGACTTCTTTAAAGAAATGGCCTCTCCCTAGTACTTGGGCCCATCACTGAACTGCCACTATTATGGTTCTCCTTGTGATTCTACCTTGCTGTATTCCAAGCCCACTACTAGCTATGCCCTGAGCAAATCATGTGGGCAACTGTTTTCTCTCTCCTCCCTCTCTTGAAATTAGAAAACTGTCAACATCACCAGATTACTCATTCTCTTCCCACCACCCACCAGTGACACCTCTAGCTAAATATACCTTTTCACCCTGCAGCATTGCTAATCCATGTGGGGTCCTCCACATTGTCTTTCAATGGTGTAAAACTTTTTTAAAAGGACTTTATATGTGAAAAAGTTTGAAAATGGAGTAGAGGATTTTCAAAAACCCATGAGAAGGTGTGTCATGCATCTATGTTGACTGCCTCTTGTCAGAGACCTAAAATTCTAAATGTGCAAACAGAACTTTGCTTGCATTTTGTACAAGGAGGATACATTTCATTCTTGTTGGGCACCAAGGATTCTTCTTTTGAGTGATTCAGTCGTCTCCGCTTCTCTTTTTAAAGCACAGATAGAAGAGTTACAGACCTAAAGGATATTGCTTCATGGAATTTTGCTGTATTGGGAGCAAACTTGAAAACATAGTGTGGTGTAGTGGTTAAGAGCGGTGGACTCGTAATCTGGTGAACTGGGTTCGATTCCCTGCTCCTCCACATGCAGCTGCTGGGTGACCTTGGGCCAGTCACACTTCTCTGAAGTCTCTCAGCCCCACTCACCTCACAGAGTGTTTGTTGTGGGGGAGGAAGGGAAAGGAGATTGTGAGCCGCTTTGAGACTCCTTAGGGTAGTGATAAAGCAGGATATCAAATCCAAACTCTTCTTCTTCTTGGTCAAGATCCAAAGAAAGGAATATTTTGTTGATGATTTTGTTCCTGCTTTTCCCAAAGCCTAAGGCACATTATGAAACTGAGGGTGATGGTGATAAAACTGTACTTAATGTACAGAGATATAGGAAGCTACCCTATGCCAAGTCAGACCATTGGTTCTTATTGCTCAGTATTATCTACACTGGGTCCAAGGGTTCAAGCAGGAGGCATTGCCAGCTCTACCTGGAGATGCTTGAGATTGCACCAATCACCTTTTGTATGTAAAGTAGATGCTCCACTACTGAGATACAGTGCTTCCCCTATCTCTGTGTATTCAGTCCAGGTGCTTTGAACCCCTGTAAGAACGGTGGGAGAATTGAGCACCGGCCAGCACACCTTGTCAGCTTCAGGTCTGAGTGGATGCTTGACCCCTCCTCTGTCACTGGGCACTGGCAAGATTATCTGACTCTGCTGGCACCGTTGAGTGGCTGTGTCTTAGCCAACCTTTCAGTTTTGCATCATCTCCCAGAACAGTGCTAGGCTAGAGTCATTGTGGGAAATTTTAAAGGGACGGTTAGATGCAGTCCCCTGGTGCTTTTCTGATGGTAAAGCAGGGGGGTGGGGAATCACAGAGAGCCCAGGTCAGAAAAAAAGGATGCAAAGCAGGTGTCAACAGTAGACCCTAGCAGGGTTCTTGAGCCCTAGCAGATGTTCAAGAACACCTGCTTCTGGCACTGGTTCTCCTTGTGAGACTTGCACCATTGCCTTCTATATGCCCGGAGGTCAAGAATTATGTTTATCAAGTACTTGCAGGTTGACACACTTGACTAGTGGACTTCATTTGGTTCATGTAACCTCAGGGTTTTTGGGGTTTTTTAATGCTCATTTTTTCCATTTAAGACATTGGGATGTGATTGATCATATCACAGGTGGAACCTTTTAATTGGCTGTCTCTTGGTGGATGAGCATTTGATTTGGGGGAAGCTAGAGGGGTTTGGCCAATTCCTAGGGTGTTGCAGTTGTTTCCCAGTCTTGGAGTAGTAAACCTGTTCACAGGCATCTTGCAGTCGGCTTTGTAAATAACTAGTGTTCCCAAAGTGATGTGCTTTCCCACAAGTGAATGATGCATGCTATTGTTGAGACAAGATACTCTGAAACCTGCACAGTGACTTGTCTCTTCAGCTGCAGGTATATCTGTAACAAAACTGCAAAGTAAACATTATGCATATCCCTGATTTTGAACTGCAGCTGGGATCTCCAGGTGGTACTGTATGTCTGCTTCTTAAAAGGCAAGATCATAGAAAAAAGACCACTACCACAATTACTGTGTGTTGCCCGCTACTACCCTATGTCTATTACTTTCCCACCTTTTGAGTCCAATGGGTCAAAATAACAACAGGTTGTTGATTATCAGTAGGTCATGAACAGAATGCATTTGCCAGTCCTTTTCTCCCGGAGAGTTTTGTGGTCTTTGCCACAATTCAAATGTCCACGAGACTCCCATTCATGCACTGAGCTCCACCAGAGCAGGGTGGTGATTCCCATTTTGGTGGCGAGTAATGAATTACTCGTAACAAAAGATGCAGATCAGCCTCAATAATCAAACAATACAATGAATCCTCTGTTCACATGGAGCTTCACTGTTTCTGTGCAGGCATTGGAGCTTTACACTTTGGGTTATTATGTTTCAAGAATTTTGCAACATCTCCTCTCACTCCCAAATCATCAGTATATAAAGAGAGAACCCCGTAGCTCCGGTTGTGGCAGCGTATCATCAGAGGATGGGTGGGTTTTTTTAAGTACTTCAAAGTTTCACTGAAGGCATTCATGGGCTGTATTCTTTTCTCCTCCAGCTAGAAGATGGAAATAAATAAAAGGAAAGATGCTGATATATCACAAGCAGTTACTGCAAATATATCACTGGGGAGGCGTGTGAGAGTTTTGAGCCAGATAGAGCTACAGATAAGTGTCTCTGCACTGGGCATCAGATAGCAAAATCTATGCCAAGAGATTGCTCCTGTAGGAGTAATAAATACACACCTTATCTGTAATGATTCTCCAACTTCATAAACCCTGCATTAATGGCATTCATTGCATCTTTTTCATGTCTCTCAGGTCTTATTTTTATGAGACTTCCATTTTTGTGTGTGTTAATTTTACGAAAATTGCACCATCTGTTGTTGTTGGGTGTGTGGTGTTTATTTTCCTCTCTCTCTCTCTTTCTCTTTTTTTTCTTGGGTCTAGCTATTGACTTAAACTAGATGCAAGCAGTAATTCCCAGCGTGTGTTTTGAGGTATGCTGTATAAAGCACCTGTATAACCTCCAAAGTAGCCATCAGCAGACAGAAGAGCTTTCCCACGGTGTCTTTTCAAGATTTATTCTGGCCTCCTTCCAGTCAACCTCCATGCATTGCTGACAATTATGTCTCTGTGTAGCCATCTGATTTGGTGAATTGTATTCTCATTGGTGTTATTTTTTATTTTCCTAACCCATCATATTCATTGTGTCCCAGGTGTGTAATAAACTATGGCAAGGATGCTAGAAGAGATGCATGTAGCTCAGTTGGTAGAACATGAGGCTCTTAGTTTCAGGTTCGAGCCCCATGTTGGGCAAAAGTTTCCTGCATTGAAGGGGGTTGGACTGGATGACCCTCGCAATCCCATCTAACTCTACAATTCTATTATATGCTTTACAAGGCCGGGGGCGGGGGCGGGTCTAGTTTAGATCTATTGGAAAATCCCCATATCTCTTGAAATGAACAAACCACACCTTGCTTTTAGCGCTCACCTTCCCCCTTTATTAGGTGTGAGGAGGAGTAGCTCTTTAGAAATGGTTGCTTTGACTTTTAAACAAACCACTGTTGAGGTTACATCTGGACAGGGAAGATTGTGGTTTGTTTAAACTCTAGCTAGCTCAAACCAAGCAGTATTGGAAACCGCACTTAGATTCTGGCACATTTTAAAAATAGTTTCTTTAAAATCAGAAATGAAAGCTATGACTCATCCATGCAGTGGGAAACCATATTTCCTGTTACATTTTGACTGTTCCATTGATGGTTTTATTTTTTACATTATTTTTTAAATGTTTCCTTGCCCTTGTCAACAGTGCCATAGACAACGTGGATAATGATGTTATGAACCAGCTTGACTTTGTCCAATATGTTTTTCTGCCAATCCTAAAAACTTGATATTGATATCACAGTGTGAAGATAGTGCTCTGGTATCTCAGGAGTAAAAGTATAAGTAGCAAGGGACATGGGAGTTGTAATTGCCCTGTAACTTCCCATTTTATTGAACTGTAAAATAAACTGTTGTGTAAAACCTGTGTAAGTTGCTGATGCATAAGCTAAAGCTGCCCCAGGGTTCCATTAACCTACACATACTGTCCTTGTAAATTTTTCCTCCATGGTATTTAACGTATTTAGGGATTTGTGCCATCCCTGTTCTTTTTAGCTTGTTGGCTCAAAAAACTCCTTTGTAAAAAGTTTTTTCGACCCCAGTTAAAAAGAGTTGAAACAGAACATTTTGAGCTACTTCTGTCCAGAGTCGTAGCACATGTGAAAATTCAACTCTTCTGCTGCAGTTGACATCATACAGCATGGGTGCCACAGTGCCTGCGATGAAACTAGAGTTAGTTGAGTGTTGTCCTGTAGGATGAATCTGAATGGTGCAGAAGCACTCTTCTCAGCTGTTTCCATAGCTTCCGTCCTTCCTGAGCCAATCAAGGCCCAAGTTTCTAGCCCTGTGAGACTCAAGTCCTGCTATGAAGACATGCATAATGTGATTATTGGGTCTGACAGCTGCCTGGATTAAGAGTGCTTGGAGCCTCTTTGTCCCAAACTCTTTGTCGGTATGGTGGGATATTATCCTTCAACATATTAAAAATACTTGGGCGAGGCTTTAGTGTCCCATGCTGAGGAACGAAAGCCTTAATGGCTCTTATAACAGCTTCCCATTCCCTATATTTAAGAACTAATTGGGGTGCTGTTGTGTGTTTCCAGTCCATCTAGCTTGATATGGCTTGCACTAACTGGAAACAGATCTCTGAGATTTCAGACTGGGGGCGTTCCCAGCCCTACTTAGAGTAGACCTGTTGAAATTAATGAACATGACCAGCATAGTTCTATTGATTTTAGTGGGTCTGCTGTGTTCTGAGTAGCCCTTAGTTGGATTTGTTGTTGTTTAGTCGTCTTAGTCGTGTTCGACTCTCCGTGACCCCATGAACCAGAGCATGCCTTGGGAACTCTCACTTTCTTCTCAAAGCTTCTCCTTTTTTATGTCCATGGAGTTTTCTTGGCAAAATACTGGAGTGGTTTGCCAGTTCCTTCTCCAGGTGGATCACATTTAGTCTAAACTCTCAGCTATGACCTGTCCATCTTGGGTGGCCCCCGCACGGCATAGCTCATAGCTTCTCTGAGTTATTCAAGCCCCTTTGCCACAACAAGGCAGTGATCTATGAAGATCACTTAGTTGGCTTAGTTGGATACAACCCTATATATTTTAGCAATCCAAAGATCGCTCGGAATGTTTGCTTAGAATGTTGTCAGACATCCTGGGTTCATTAGGGACAAAGGGCAGGATACAAAGTGAATAAATAATAAAATGATAGTTGCTGTTAATACTGTACAGTTGTACCTTGGATCCCAAACACCTTGTAAGTCGAATGTTTTGGCTCCCGAATGCTGCAAACCTGGAAGTGAGTGTTCCGGTTTGCAAACGTTCTTTGGAACCCGAACATCTGACAGGGCTTCCGCAGCTTCTGATTGGCTGCAGGAGCCAATCAGAAGCCTCACTTTGGTTTCCAAACGTTTTGGAAGTCGAACGGACTTCCGGAATGGATTCTGTTCCACTTCCAAGGTCCAACTGTAATACTAATAGAAAACTGTGTTAACTTGCTATTGTTGATTTCATTCCTCATTAAAGAAAACATGTTTTTTATACCAGTCATTAGATAAATATTGCACAGATCTTCAATGTACAGATTTTTTTTTCCTTTAAAAAGAAAGAAAGAAAGAAAATAAAACCCAGAAAACCTCTTGGGAGCCTCATGCTCATTCTGCCTGATATAAACGTCTTTGCTAAACAAATGTTTGCAGAGCAAAACTGGAAAAGCTCTTCATATGTTCTAGGCATATTGACAGTGAAATGAGATGCATGATTGGCAAAACAAAGGCTGGTTCCTCAAGAAAAGGCCAACCATGCATACTTCATTTGTTTTTTATTGTGTCTCAATTATTCTTCAATAACCGCAAGGCACCATTCTGATGACATCACTCATCTGTATTGTATAGTTGGCACGGAAGCTGCCCGTAATACAATTTAGTTGAGATGGTCCTATATTTCCCCATTGCTCACAATATAAAGCTGCCAGCAGCCAAACAGTCCAACTTCTGGGAGAAAAAGTTGTCAGTTTGGCTGGAATTAATTTTATTTAGAAAAAAAAAAGTAAACCACTTAATAACACAGAAAACATCTCTAATGTGTGAACATAAATACTTACCAATAGCATACATATATAATTGGAAAATATTTTTAGAAAACAGGGGTTGGATTCAGCTAATCTGTTCTGCTAGCAGAAGCAAGTGGAATAACTTCATTTAGTTCATTGGGATTTTCCCCACTGTTCTGCCCCTGCATGTCTCCCCACACCCCCAAATCCACTCTGGACGGTCAAGAGAACACCCAGAACAGCACAGGATAGGGCAGGGGTAGGCAACATAAGGACCAGGAGCCGGATGCGGCCCAGTTGCCTTCTCAATCCGGCCTGTGGACAGTCCAGGAATCAGCGTGTTTTTATATGAGTAGAATGTGTCCTTTTATTTAAAATGCATCTCTGGGTTATTTGTGGGGTATAGGAATTCGTTCATCCCCCCCCCCCAAAAAGATAGTCCGCCTGCCCCCCACACATGGTCTGAGGGATGGTGGACCGGCCCAAGGCTGAAAAAGGTTGCTGACCCCTGGGATAGGCACTCCATCAGGCAAGCAGAAATACGTGCATTGATGGAACAATCTCCTTGGCGTTAAGTTGGATTCTATCCAATGGGGTTATATTTAGCCAAGCCCTACCCAGAGTATACCCAATGAGATTAATGAACCTGAGCTAGTCATGCCCATTGTGTCTGGGAGGAATTCAGTGTTGTGCTAAAACAATTGATCCATACAAGCATTTTTGCTTGGCCGATGGAATGACTACCGTCTCCTCCCCTCCATGCTTTTCTGAGGGATTTCTCAGTCAGCCAAGAGCCAATTTCTTTAGTAGGAGGGAGGCACACAAGGGAAAGTCTGGTTGCACCAGCAGTAGCAATGTCGTGGCGTGGGTTGCCAGTGCCCAGGGCTGCAGAAAGGGAAGGTAGCTTCCATGTCGCCCAGAAGATCACAACCAAAGAGATAAGAGGTCTGGAGAGGTCCCTTCCTGGTTTGCATGGAGAAGCCATTTTCAGTGGAGCCCAACGATGGCAGCACACAAGCTTTATTGAGGCAGCACTGGGTGTTGAAACTTCACACCACTAACAATTTTGTGCCCGGGGCAACCGCCTCTGTGCTACACCACTAAGCAGGAGTGCTTGTGGGGGGCATCTTCTAGCAGAACTGCTTGAATCTGGCTCTGTAGGCTGGGTGAACTAAAAAAAAGATTTTAGCAGATGTCTAAAACAGTATAGCAAAGGCGCTTGCCTAATGTTAAGTTTGGATGAGTTATCAATGTGCGCTTCTTGTCTGATTGTAGCAATGCTCCTGCTTCTCTCTTTTTCTATCAAGTTCAAATCAAATGTGTTGCGGCTCTCGTTGGATATCAGATTGCAGCCATTAGGTTCTGAAGTCTGATCGGAGTGCTCTTTGGATATCAACCTTTAGTGATGTAGCCCGTTAACTATTTTTAGGATCCCAATATAGTCTATATGTGTGTGTGTGTGTGTGTGTGAATGCATGCAATTTAGAAGCATGCTGCACCCATCCAATGTCAGTAGAACAAATCTCGTGTAAATCGTGTGTTTGCTTGTCTTTGTGATAGCAAAAATAAATTCTGAGCAGATGCTATAAAACACCCTTCCCCAACCAAGTGCCCTCCAGATTTTCTAGGCTGGGTGGTACTGCCTGCAGCTGATGGGAGTTGTTCCCCAAAAGCATCTGAAGGTCACTAGGTTGGGAAACGCTGCTATAAAACTTGACGGAGGCCCTTGTCTCAAAGCATTTCAGCAACACTGTAGAAATTAAGACCTTCCCTGAGAGCCAATAGTATCTTTCTCGACAAATAGTCCAGTTGATGCCAGCATGAATTAAAGTGGGCAGAACTTCCCTTGAGGGAAAGAGAAGGCAACAAGGCTTTCATGGGGGGCCATTCATCCTCATCAGTCATTTCCTTTTTCCTTTCCAAATGTTAAGGCTATCTCCTGCATGGGCAGAAGAGAAGTGGGGGAAGCTAGCTTTCGATACAGCGTAAATACAAAGTGAAGTATTATACAGAATATGTCTTTTCTGCTAGAGGAGAATATATTTTTAGAATTGATTACTGACATTATCTGGGTTGTCCCCCAAGTAACTCCATGCGAAGGCTTAGAGAAATGTCTTGTTTACCGAGGAGATGGAAAGCAACGTGAGCCGGTATAATTAACAAAGTTTTAGAACTTGCCATAATAATCAGGCGTTGGGAGAGAGAGCGCTCTGATTTGTCGTCGTAAATCACAGCTGTGATGACAAAATAAATCCATTGTTTCAAGGAGGACTGAATAAATCTTTTGGCTGGAGGGGAAAAAAGGATATACTTATCAATGTCTCGGTGATTAGGGCTTTTTCTTTTTTTTTCTTTTTTGGCTAAGATTACCCTTTTTCATCTAATATGTGCCATGTCGTCTGGGAAAATGAATCACACTGCGTGCTGAGGGGAGAGCAAGTTGTCTTTTGGCTATGATAATTAAACGGAGAAGGGATCCTCTTGACTGATGACACCTGCATTCAGAGGAAGAAAACCCATTAATAAGTACTGTGTGGACAATGTTGTACAGGGAGTGCTGAGCTGCTGCCTCCCATCCGTGGCACGGGACAGTTCTGCAAAGGAGAATTGCAAGGGGACAGTGACACCGTTGAGCTGTGTTAACCTTGTGTCCTGTTAGCTAGACTAGGGTGGCCCAACATTTCATACCAAGTGGGCTGCAGTAATACTTTGACACAAAAGCCACTGGTTGCTCACTGTCTTGTTGCACAGCCAAAATTTGACAACCCTGCTCCAGCCCTTGCACTGCCTTCCCAAATCCAGGTAAATTATGTGCAGAGTTTGGGAAGGAGGCATGAGGCTCTGGCATGGTCCTAAATAATAATAATAATAATAATACTAACACTAATACTAATACTAATACTAATAATACCCCGCCCATCCAACTGAATATCAAAAACACAATACATCATCAGTAGGCAAACTAAGGCCTGGGGGCCGGATCTGGCCCAATCACCTTCTAAATTCGGCCTGCGGATGATCCAGGGACCAGCGTGTTTTTACATGAGCAGAATGTGTCCTTTTATTTAAAATGCATTTCAGGGTTATTTGTGGGGCATAGGAATTCATTCTTCTTCTTTTCAAAATATCGTCTGGCCCCCCACAATGTCTGAGGGAATGTGGACCGGCCCCCTGGTGATAAAGTTTGCTGACCCCTGAATACAGCATCAAACAGATCCCTCCCACCTCCTTCCCAAAACTGGGAAAGTGTGAACTAGGCTTTGCGAAGAAGGCAGGAGGACTCTGGGACACTGTCAGAGCCTCACTCCTCCTTCCCAAAGCTCAACACCTCACTTACCCTCGATTTTGGGAAGACAGTTCAAGGTCTGGGGGGAGGGGTGTCAAATAGTGCTGAGGGCCATTAAAAAATGCCTTGAGGCCTACAGGTTGGACCACCCTGATCTAGACAGTGACAGTTACCATTGTGGTACCACCCCAGTTCGTGCACCCAGTATTCTTGTGGATCGGGCCTTTACTTGAGAAATTGTGTCTGTCGTTCCCATGGTGGGGTTTTTTGTTTTTGTTTTGGTGAATTCTCAGCCTGAGGCCCAACATTCCTTGCAGTCCATACTGTCCCAGCTTTTTCCAATGTGTGTCTTCTGGGATGCGCTTCTGGGCGAGTCACATGACTCTTGCCTAGCACGCAATGATTTGCCCCTGAAAAATGACTTTTTTGAGGTGAGAGCGCAGCACCCAAAATGGCCACCAAGATCTTATGTGAAAAAATGGAATGTCCCTTTTTTTTCCAGGGCCTATGGCAGCCTCCCTTTCCTTCTGTAATGTTGAGAAAGGGGTGGGAAGAACAGGGATGGGAAATCTGAACCTCTGAATGTTGCTGGACTGCAACTCCTAACTTCCCTGGGTATTGGCCGTGCTGACCGAGGCTGATGGAAACTGGGTTCAACAACATCTGGCAGGCCACAGGTTTGTTTAAATATTGATAAAGCCTCTCCTCCTTCCGGAGTGGAGGGATTGTGAGCAGGAGACGATGCCCGCGTAACGCAGGGGGCGTTCTGCCCCTCATCACCGCTGGCGCGCCATGCCTCCCGGTTGGGCACCCAATCGGGGGACACTGCGGGGGCGTGGTTTAGCCACTCAAATGCGGCCGCGCCAGCTTGCCCCGCCATTGCGCTCCTGATCGTCCTCAAGTCACCCACCCACCACTCTCTGTAGGGCGTAGCTTTTAGCCTGGCCTTGCTATGGACCCATGGTTGGTTGCCGTGGTTGACCAGGGGGCCTGGTAGGAGTTTTTTCCAATTGGCAAATTGGCACCGGCCTCTTGGTTTTTGCCGCCTACCTCGTAGCAATCGTCACAACTTTCCTGGTACTTGGCGGTTAGGCATTGGAATGTGTTGTTGGTGTTGGGAAGGGCTAGGTGTGGCCATTGCCTACCCCTTCACTTTTGGGTATTCCCTTAAAGGAATCCGGCGGTTGTGGATCCTGTCCGATGCCCTGTGTGGCGGGGGGCCATGGCACGACCCTCGGTGACATCAGGGGAGAGCTTATAG